TATATATATGATAAAAGCTTATAAATATAAATGAGCACCAGGGAAACAAAACCCTTTAAAATTTTTTAAAAGGTTTTAATAAATAAATAATGACCCAAGCTTTCGCCGGCTTTTCTGCCGGCATCTTCAGGGATCCGTGTCAGTCAATGGGAGGGCACTCCTTATATTACATTTAATGAACCTCATGAAATCCCTGTTGGAGTACTTTTCAGACACCAACAGGGACATCATGTGGTGGGTGCAAAACCCATTTATCGACTGAAATAAACCTCACATGTTGTCCGTGCCAAAGTATGAAGATCTTATTGAAATTCAATGTATTTCTGCTTTAAAAATGAAATTTGAATCTACCACTGAATGATTTTTGGGTAGGACTGATAGATGTATACCCATCAGTAGCCAAAAAGGCTATCCCAACACTGCTCCATTTTCTGTCCACCTATCGATGCAAATCAGGCTTTTCGGCTTATGCTTATACAAAAAACAAATTTAGGAGTAAGTTGGATGCCACCCTGGATTTACGTATTCAGCTATCAGACATAAAGCCCAATTTCAAAGCTGTTTTAAGTACAAAAATGAAACAATTTCATTCATCACATTAGATGTAAATCCAGTATTTTCTTGTACCAAAATAAATGTTTGTGGTTATATTTAAAATGCTTTCTCTTTATTTCCAAACCTACATGTTATGCAAAACACTCAGGCAATAGAAGTAGATGAAAGAAGGAAGAAAGTTGTGGGTTCACAATGCTTAGTAAACATTAGGGATAGAGTTAGGGTTCCATGGGGAAAAAAAGTCTTCTGAAGGAACCCTTCCATGACTGAAAAAGTTTGGGAACTGCTGCTCTACTTAATCTCCAAATGACTTTGAAGAACTCAATTTTAGCCAACTTTGGCAAGATTACCAAGCTTGCTCTAACTTCTAAAGCCGTGGTGGCGAACCTATGGCACGCATGCCACAGGTGGCACGCAGAGCCCTCTCTGTGGGCACGCATGCCGTCGCCCCAGTCCTAGGCCTTCAGCTGGGTTTTATAAAACCTTTTCACTTTAGGCCTCCGCCACCATGTGCAAAAAAAAAAAAGGTTCAGTCAATCAATTTCAACTTCTCACAGGGAAAAAAAAGATCTTGCAAAGTTGGAATTGATTGATTGAACTTTTTAGTCCCACCCAGTCTGCCGTTACCACCTAATGGGCCACGCCCACCCAATTGGCCACACCCGCTCAATGGGCCACGCCCACCCGGCACCCAACGATACATAAGTGGGTTTGGGGTTGCAGTTTGGGCACTCGGTCCCTAAAAGGTTCACCATCACTGTTCTAAAGTAAGACTGTCTCATTGCTGTAGAGCAGGGGTCTTCAAACTCGGCCCTTTTATGACTCATGGACTTCAATTCCCAGAATTCCTCAGCCAGCGTGCCTGGCTGAGGAATTCTGGGAGTTGAAGTCCATGAGTCATAAAAGGGCTGAGTTTGAAGACCCCTGCTCTAGAGCCATTAGTATAAAAATATGTATCAGAAGTCTTGATTCCCATTAGAGAAGCAGTCCTGCAAGTACCTAGCTGCCAAGACATGTAGAGCTTTATTGATTATAAACAGTCCTTTGATTTCAGTCCTTTGATTTGTAAAAGAAACAACAAAAAAAGCTAAGTCTATAGTGAATGCCACTGGTTGAGTCCTACAACTGCTACTTGAGTCTTTCTTACTGTTTCATGTACAGAATTTACAGAATCTAGATTTTAGGAACCATATTTTATGACTGCATTGCCGTAACCTCTGTTCCTTTTGATGTCTTTTGGAAATTCTTATGAGTTTAATGATCCACAAAATGGACCACAAAACTGAGGTAAAGTTTGGAGAAAAGAAGAAAGAAAACCCCATTGAAAGGACTGGAGCATCTTTTAAAGCTGACATCCTCTTAATTCTTTCTTGTACATCTAATCTTTTGCATTCTTGGTCTCAGGCGATGCGTTTTGTGATTTGTATCTGCTTAAGCCAAATTGGAGCTGGAATTGAGACTTAATGGACTGCTCATTGCTTAACTCCCATCTCCTTTCACAGACGGAACGGGATGTGAGTGTGCGCCAGCGAGCTGCTGACCTCCTCTATGCCATGTGTGACCGTACAAATGCCAAGCAAATAGTCTCGGAAATGCTTAGCTATCTGGAAACAGCAGATTACTCAATCCGTGAAGAGATTGTGAGTAGGGGTTACCAACTCAATGGGAAGAGGAACTGGAAGCCAGACCTTCGGTCTTGTCATCTCAGTAGATTGCAGTGAAACAAAATGAATGCCTGCCTTAACATGAAAACTGGTCTGGAGAGGGCATACCAGTTGGGAGTTGTCAGTAACGTTTTCTTTTTCTTCTCTCAGGTGCTGAAGGTAGCCATCTTAGCTGAGAAATACGCAGTAGACTATAGTTGGTATGTGGATACCATCCTCAATCTGATCCGCATTGCTGGTGACTATGTGAGTGAGGAGGTGTGGTACCGTGTCATCCAGATTGTCATTAACCGGGATGATGTGCAAGGTTATGCAGCCAAGACAGTCTTTGAGGTGGGCAGCCTTGACTTGGGACACTGACTGTCCCTTCTTACCTCTCTAGAGCTCTGAAGAGGTTTTCTTTTCTGTCCTTTTATGAGTATGTGACTCTGGCTATGAAAACTAGATGGATTGTCCATTCTTATTTCCTTGTTCAAACATATGCAGCCATAGATAAGAAATAAATATCAGGGGACACTAAAAAGGGATTACATCTTAATAAGGACTGAGCATCTTCAGTGTCCACAAAATGCTAAATGTTTATTGATGCAGGGGAATGAAGTGAAGTATTCTGGAGTAGGTTATGGCTGATTGTGAGGGCAATATAAACTTGAAGGGTATGACTATTGATGTGCTCCATTCACATATAGTTCTGCAGTATGTTTGATGCTGAATGTATCAGATTCTGGGATGTCTGAGTCAGTTTAAAAGAGTCTGGAAGTACTTGATGCTCCTTAAGCCTTGGAAAAGGCTTAAAGAACATCCTACCTGTCCTTCTTTTAAAAGCAGTGGTGTTATACTAAACTAAAATAGGAGCTTCTTCTCAAGTTGCATCTACCTAACTGCCCACCATGCATTGTATTTGCTTTTCTTTTTCCAGGCTCTCCAGGCTCCTGCTTGTCATGAGAACATGGTGAAAGTTGGAGGCTATATCCTTGGGGAATTTGGGAACCTCATTGCTGGGGATCCCCGTTCCAGGTAGATAATATGAAAGGAAATGGATTGACCTGGGGGATGGAGTGGGGTGGGATGAGATAGAGTGGAGTTGGGGCTCAGCTCCTATGAGGAAAGAAAATAGACACTGGGATTATATTGGGACTTTAGCATGCAGAAATCCCAACCAGCCTGAGTAAATATAATTCTAAGAGTTGTAGCCCCAGCATATCTGGAGAGTTACTGTACATCATTCTCTTGTTTTACTTATTATGAGGCACTTAAATTGGGGAGACTTGTCTCATCGTTCCTTGATGTGAGTAAAGCCTATGAGAATGCCTCCTTTACATTTCCTCACCTGCAGATCTCACGGGCTCTGACTCATGTTGTCTCCTGTTCTCTTTTCTCCACCAGTCCTCTGGTTCAATTCAACCTCCTTCACTCCAAATTTCACCTCTGCAGTGTTTCTACTCGGGCCCTACTTCTCTCCACCTACATCAAATTCATAAATCTCTTCCCTGAAACAAAGGGCACCATCCAGGAAGTGCTGTGCTCGGACAGCCAGATTCGCAATGCTGATGTGGAACTGCAGCAACGTGCCATTGAATACCTCAAGCTCAGCTCTATTGCTAGCATCGATGTCCTGGTGAGGGAGGAACTGAGGGGGGGTACTGGTAGCCTCATCTCTCAGGGAAAAGAGATTCTTTGTTTTTCCTTCTGAAGAGTTGTAGCCATGATTTGGGAAAAGTTGATTCAGGGAGCATTGGAAAACAGAAACCAGGAAACTTCTCTTTTGGTGGAATGAATCAGTTTGGCATTTTTTATTTGATCCAAAGTCAGTTTTTACCCTTTTACCTGAAAATGGAGTGGGCTAGGGTGGAACTTCAATTGTATACCGGCCTTTGAGGAGTGCACTACAGTGATGTCTTCAAATGAAGTGAAACTAAATGTTCTACCCCATTTGTTTCCTTTAAGGAGCAGAGTTAGGGTTGAAATGTGTTGCTTAGAAGTGATATACATCATCCCGGAGAAGCATAATGCACCTATTTGCAAAGTTTGGGAGCTTAAAAAGTGCAAAATCACACTGCTGGGAGGAGGGGGGTGTCTAAAACTGATATGGGGAACCTCCTATAGCTTTCAAGTCATCTATTCTGCATTAGAGAAGTTCCAGGAAAGTGACTGTGTCCATTGCAGAGCAAACATCATAGAGAAAGTGGATGACTGCACAGGGCCAGTATAATAAAGCAGATAGTCCACTTGTGGTCACATTGTCTGTAGGATTTTTTACTTTGCAGAACTCAGAGTTCCAGTCGTTTCCCAGAAAAACAAAGTTGACTGGCAGGGCATGTTGGTATTTGTTTCCAATTTTCATCCTTACTGCTTTAGGCTACAGTACTGGAGGAGATGCCACCATTTCCTGAACGTGAATCCTCCATCTTGGCAAAACTCAAGAAAAAAAAGGGTCCTGGGGCTGGCAGCGAGTTAGATGATGGCAAGAAGGATCCAAACTCTGAAATCAATGGAGGCATGGAGCCCTCAGCCAGCACTGCTGTGAGTGTAGGGGAGAAGGACAAGGCTAGAAATGAGGAGGGGGCTTGAAATGCTCCCTAGAAAGAAAAGGATACTGTGTGGGAAGTCTGTGGGAAGGGGAAGACAAAAATACAAAGCACAGGAAGTAAGAATTATAACTTCTGATCTCTTAACCCTGTTGGATTATAAAGCAGGATTTCTCATGCTCTGCTACTTCCTTCAATTACACCAAAATTTCTGTTGTCACGAAATTTTAGTAGATGTCCTTTGATTGCCATATGTAATTCATTGTGTCACCAATATCAGCATTCTTCTCTACTTGTGGTCCTGGTCTTTGCCAAAAGCTAAATTCAAATCTCAGAGGACAGACAGCAGGTAGATACTGTGTGAGCTGAGACTTCCTTAATTTCAACTCTAGTTTGCACTTTTATTGCTTTCACTTGCCTTTCATGCCAACTAAGCCTTTAGTCTTTTGCAGACTTTGTATAACAATTTAACAGGCTCATCCCATCCCATAGTAAAGAACTGTAATGAAACTGATGTACATGAAGCTCAACTTCCAGGAGTATTTTAACTGCAAATATTTTATGTAGACATGTATTAGTACAGGAGTAAAGAACCCCAGACCTGGGCTTTATTCCTGTTACTAAACTAGAGATAGAGTTCAGTTTCTAAGTTAGGATCACAAAAAGGAATTTTCTCTGTCCCTTACTGTTTTCTTTCTCTTGCAGTCAACGCCGTCCCCATCTGCCGACTTGTTAGGCCTCCGAGCCACACCAGTGACTGCATCTGGTGTCCCTACCAGCACCAGCAACCTTCTGGTGGATGTTTTCTCTGAAAGCCCCTCTACTGCAGCTGGCCTGGCTTCTGGTGCAGAAGAGAATTTCCTAAGGTAAGATGGTGACTCAGGTCCAGGCTGTCTCTGCCCCAGCCTTCCTAAGAAACTGAACAGGGATTGATCCATTGGATCAGTCTAAGCATATCTTGTTGTCAAGGGAGTGCCAGTCTTTTCTGGGCAACTGCTGGGAGCTCATCATATAGGACACAAGAGTGATTGCTCTGTCAAGAATGCAGAGTTTGATCTATGCCCAGCATGGAAGTTCATGAGGAATGAGTCACAGTGGTTGAATGCCTTCCTTGCATGGAGAAAGTTCCAGCTCAAAGAGTAAATCATCTGTTACCTAATCTGGGTAGCAGGTGATGGGAGGACTTCTTGCTACCTGAGATCCTCATCCAAGAGTAAGAGGAACAAGTAGGTGAACAAATAACTGCCTGTGTTTGTTATGAGAAGATGGCAATGTTCTAGATACATCTTTGGATAGGATAGGCAAGATTGATCTACAGGTGTTCCATTTCCAAGTGGCGTGAGTGCTTTGGGCTTCCTTTCTCTAGATGGGCAAGTGGCACTTTCCAGTCCTCATGGCCTTGCCTTGCTCTCTCTTTGTCTTGTATGAGAGAGTCTCTTTTTCTCTCTTTGTCTGTCTGCTGCCTTTTTGGAATGGTTTCCTCTTTCTCTTTCACACCTCTTATCTTGGATGAAACAGTGACTTGGAAGCAACTCCTGAGAATCCTGCATCACTATTGATGGAGGCTGGCCTGCCTGCAGAGTAAGGGGTTGAATCTCTCTCTCTCCCGCCCACTCTCTCTCTCTTTGCTGATTACAACCTTCCAACCACCATTTGCATTTGATTACACTAATGTGTAGAGAGACCATAAAAGAGGTGTATAGGTAGTCCTCGACTTACAACAGTTCGTTTAGTGACTGTTTGAAGTTACATTGGCACTGAAAAAAGTGACTTATGACCTTTTTCACATTTACAACCATTGCAGCATCCCCATGGTCATGTGATCAAAATTCAGCCACTTGGCAACTGGCATGTATTTATGACGGTTGCAAGTGTTCCAGGATCATGTGATCCCCTTTTGCAACCTTCTGATAAGCAAAATCAATGGAGAAGCCAGATTCACTTAACAACTGTGTTACTAACTTAACAACTGCAGTGATTCACTTAACAACTGTGGCAAGAAAGATCGTAAAATGGGGCAAAACTCACTTAACAAATGTCTCACTTAGCAACAGAAATTTGGGGCTCAATTATGGTTGTAAGTCAAGGACTACCTGTAATTGTGCCCTCTGTAACTTTGTCCCATTTCTGCTCCATTCAGTATCACTGCTCACCCATATGCTTAGAACTGCCTCCCAGAATACCTGCTCCCTTGCTTGCTTTTTTCCCAAATCCTGCATCAGAATCCATTTTTATGAAGCATTTCAGACATCTATCTACAGTATTTTATGTGACACCCACCCGTCCACTAAGTCCTTGCCTGCCCCCCACCCCACTGTTAAGAACAATCCTTACCTATCAGAAAGATGCTGTAGCCTGTAAAGTTTGCAAGCTAGGGCCACCAGTTGATCTAATCCTGATCCCTAACTGTCTCAAACTCCTGTGCTTCATATGATCAAGAACTTCAGGATCCAGAAATTGAAACTACCATAGAAAATCATACTTCTTTGAGGGGACATGAGAGAACCATTAACTTCCTCAATGTGAAGTAGGGCCGGGTATGGACTTGAAATATAGGACTCCCCTTTCAAGGGATTGGAATTCTTAGGGTTAAGAATAAATTGTGATATTTTAAGAAGTCAGGAAATCCAGATTGTGCATGGACAGGTTTTCTAGATGAGAATCTGTTTGAAGCAATACCTGTATTAGGTCAGTTCAGAATTACAGAATATTGGCCTTGAAAAGATCTTGGGTTCCATGAATGTTGTACTGTTTTTTCTCTCATTGGCTTTTAAATGTGAGGAATATGAATGTGTATACTTAAGTTAGTGAAAATATAAAAACATCACATATAAAAAGTACTTTGGCTCTCATCCTTTACAGCAGGGGTGTCAAATTCGCAACGTCACGTGACATGTTGCGACATATTGTGACTTTTTTTCCATTGCCGGCAATGGGGTGGGCGTGGTTTCGCCATGACACATCCGGCCCGTGGGCTGGCAGTTTGACACCCCTGGTTTACAGGGTTTCCAAGCTCAGGAGTTCAGATATTGTTGGATTACAGCTTCGATCATCTCCAGAAAACCTGGTCTGGGATGATGCAAGTAGGAGTCAAACAATATCTGAAAAGTGTTGCAATCAGTGCTCAGTCATTGCAGGGTGCAAATAATGGCCGCTCACACGCAGCAGTTTATTCTTTTTATACAGTATTACAAGCAGGAAAAGGTATAACATGGCAACAGCCCAGCAAGAGCACTTCATTGGTTAATCTACTCACCAATGCTTAAGGATAGAAAGTAAGAGGCCAGAAAGAGGGAAAAGTGGGCCAT